TCTTCACCTCTTCCCTCTCCCATCCTCACTCCCACACTCTCCCCAGTGGGCTCTTCCTTGGGTTCTTTTTCACCTATAGAATGTCTCTGACCTTCCTTGAAAAGATTAATCTCTACTCTAAAATATCAGGGATTATTCTGGGGTGAGGGATGAATGTTGAGTTCCAGTTCTGCAATTTCTTAAGGATATGTTCTTAAGCTCTGTTACCTTCTTTTTTTTTCACCTGTAAAGTGGGGGATAATGGGATTACTTAGAACCTAATAAGACAATGTTTATGAAACCTAGCAAATTTTAGAAGTCAATTTCACACTGAGCTAAAATTAACTGTTTATTGACTCTCAGGGAAATAATGGTATGACAGAGTATTCAAGTAGAATTCCATTGGCCTTTTGAAATACTTCATATACCTCTCCATGGTCATCTTTGGAGACCCTGGGGGTCTGGAGGCACTAGTGTTAGGGTAACACAGATATCAGAGATGCTTCACTCCCAAGCATAGGTAGTTGTTTTTGTTTGTTTGAGAGAGAGCATGTGTGTGTGTGAGAGCTTGGGAGGGACAGAGAGAGAGGGGGAGAGAGAATCCCAAGCAGGCTCCACATTCATCATGGATCCCAATGTGGGGCTCTATCTCACAAACCATGAGATCATGACCTGAACCGATATCAAGAGTTGGATGCTTAACCAACTGAGCCGCCCATTTACCATGGTTATTGTTGGTCTTACTGTCTCTTTTAATTTTTTTAATTAAAATTTTTCTCAATGTTTATTTATTTTTGAGAGAAAGACAGAGCATGAGTGGGGGAGGGGCAGAGAGAGAGGGAGACAGAATCTGAAGCAGGCTCCAGGCTCCGAGCTGTCAGCAGAGAGCCCAGTGAGGCACCTGAACCCCAAAACTGTGAGATCATGACCTGAGCTGAAGTCGGGCGCTTAATTAGGTGACTGAGCCACCCAGGCGCCTCGACCTTTTTTTTTTAACTTATATTTTTCTTCTTCATTCAGCAACATCTTGGTTTTTACCTGACTTTGTACCCTGAACAGCCTTACAGAGTGGCCATGTCCTTAGTAGATCATATTGGAAAATGTGTTGATTAGCTATAACCCTATCTCCAACCAATATTTATGTCAGTCACCTTTTCTTCAAAGTGTCTGGGATATTCTGAACACATGCAAAAAACTAATTAAAGAGAGTGAATATATTCAGAATTTTTCCCTCTTCCTCTATCCTACCAAATTTTAGCAAGATAAGTTTTCAGGATCAATTTTAACATGAATTAGTAAACAATCCACAGTTCTTCACCTTTATTGGGAGAATGATGAGTTAAATGAAATACTTTTAGCTCTGCCTGCCTCTTGGTACCAGAATGTAATAAGAAAATAAAATTATTGCAAGTGATTAATTAGAAACTTGACTTAATTTTCACAGAATTGATCGATTATGTTGGTGTATTGGGGTATGTTTTGCACAGGAGTTCATACTTGCAAAATATATTCATTGACTGACTCATCTTGGATAAAATAATGGAGAACGTATATTGGCAACACTTTATTTTAAGAGTAAACAGAAAGATTTCCAAGTTCCTAAAAACATATTTGAAATGTAATAAGACAATTTTAGATTTACATTGAAAAGTGGGGGAAAGAACCATTTGTTCAACATATATTTACTCAGTTATGCAAACATTAGTATACAAGATGCTTATCAGTAAATAGTGGAACATCTCCATTGGACTATGCACTGTGCATAGTGTTGTCAGCTCAAGAGTAGTTGGTGGTGGTAGAACACAAAAAGTGGCATCAGGAGTTTACAGCTGACTGGCAGATAACAGAACAATATGAGATAGAAATAACTATAGTCATTGATTAACAATATTCTTGAGTCTAGGCACAGAGGCCATCTAATTTAGAAAATAATTATGTGAAGAGCTCCTTGACCTTTCAGTATTCATTCTGCCTTATTTTTCTTTCACAGAGAGGAATGATAATGGGGATGATAATTGCTAACATTTATTGAGCCTCTACTGTTTGAAGCCCTTTATGTCATTCAGTCCTTGCAGCAATCCTATGAGGTAGTAAGTATCATTAGCCCCCTTTATAGATGAGGCAACTGAGGAGGAGGGGCCAAGATGGTAGAATAGCATGGAAGTTTTTTTTTTGCGTCTCTTGCCCCTGAATTGTGGCCAGAGCAACACGAAACTATCTTGCACACCTAGAAAACTGATTTGAGGATTAGCACAAAAATCTGCACAACCTGAACCACAGAACTTGGCAGGTATGCAGCGTGAAGAGGTGAACTGGGTAAGAGAGAAGCCACAGAGGGCAGGGAGTGGTTTTTGCTTGCGGAGAGGGGGGGGGGGGGGGGGCATGAGTACAGGAAAAGCACTCCCCCCCCCAAAGCAGCTGGAGAGAAAAAAGGAAAAAGGAAAAGTGGAAACAGCCTCAAGGGTCTGAACAAAAAAAGAAGGGAGAAAGGAGAGTGTTTAAATTCCATTAAGACTCTGTAAACAGGGAGAGTGCAGTCTGAGACTCTGTACGATTAAGGATGTATGTATCTTAATAAGTTGTTTCTTATAGGAGTTGTTGAAAATTTATCAAATACAAGGATGTTTAAAAGAGGAATCAAGGGGCGCCTGGGTGGCGCAGTCGGTTAAGCGTCCGACTTCAGCCAGGTCACGATCTCGCGGTCCGAGAGTTCGAGCCCCGCGTCAGGCTCTGGGCTGATGGCTTGGAGCCTGGAGCCTGTTTCCGATTCTGTGTCTCCCTCTCTCTCTGCCCCTCCCCCGTTCATGCTCTGTCTCTCTCTGTCCCAAAAATAAATAAACGTTGAAAAAAAAAAAAAAGAGGAATCAAAATCATACCAGTCATTACTTTTGGTATTTGTAATTGGCTCACATGTTGTGGGTGGGTGTGTGTGTGTGTGAGAGAGAGAGAGAGAGAGAGACAGAGACAGAGAGAGAGACAGAGAGAGGGAGACAGAGAGAGACAGAGATATTATATAAAGTAAAAACGTTTTTCCTCCAGAGAGATAAAATCATTTTGTACCCTTATCAGGAGTAAATGTGAATGCCCCATCCCTTGATTTATACCTTTTATATTAAAGGGATTACTACATTTGTCTTTTTTATGTTTGTGACTATTTTTCCTTCATCAATTGTATTTCAAAAGTATTTTATGTAAGTGAATTTTTCTGACATAAACAAGTTTTAAATTGTATCATATTTTTCTCTTCTAGTTTCTGGGTTTTTTTTTATTTTTTTTTTAAATTTTTTTTTTCAGCGTTTATTTATTTTTGGGACAGAGAGAGACAGAGCATGAACGGGGGAGGGGCAGAGAGAGAGGGAGACACAGAATCGGAAACAGGCTCCAGGCTCTGAGCCATCAGCCCAGAGCCCGACGCGGGGCTCGAACTCACGGACCGCGAGATCGTGACCTGGCTGAAGTCGGACGCTTAACCGACTGCGCCACCCAGGCGCCCCTTCTAGTTTCTGTTTTGATGCTATATTTCAGAAATTTTTCTGCCTACTTAGATTATATAAATTTATGTCAAAAGTTTATCCTTTATCAATTTAAAATACTATTATCATATATTAAATTCTTACCAGTATTTAAATTTTTCTGAGATTTCTATATATTCTTCTGACACATGTATGTTTTGTAAGAATAGTGAGTTATCAGTGTGTATAATACTTTTTAATATATGAAAGTTCATGTCTTTTTAATTATTAATCTTTTTTTTTCAAAAATTTCTTAGCTTGTCTCATTGATTCACTCTTTCATCTCAAGGAAGGACAGTTTGTTTATGGAGCACAGGCCATAGCTGCAATCTGTTATGAATCTGTTAGTAAGCTCTAATATGGTGACTATCTCAATAAAACATTATGAACTATAGCTATGAGCTATGCAGTACTTGGTAATTGAAACTACTTTTTCTCTGCATCAAGGCCCTACATAGCTTGATGGTGGTTGTCAATTGACCCAGTGTAATTAACTCAAACTAAATAGAAAATTGTTTATGTGGTTCTTGTCTTCATGGCTGCAGGTGATTGATTTGCTTCTACATGAGATCTGAATCTGAATCTGCCTAGAGGCATTGATTCCTGGCAGTCTACAAGACCAGTGATGTCTCAGGAAATATCTCAAATTAACCCATACAGCTCTAGCGCCATTGACAGTCCTATCCATGGGTACAGCTGTCACTCATGGCTATCTGTAAGCCATCCATGATAATAATAGCCAACACCTGTTCAACAGTTATTTTGTACAGCATTGTAGGCTGGGCCTCCCCATGAATTTTCCTGTAACTCTCCTAGTAATCTTATAGTCCAGGGGCTCTTGATGTTCTCATTTTATTGGGAGCAAATCAGTCTTAGTGTGTAAGCTATGGGGGCGAGTTCATAAAATGAGAAGGTATCAGACAAAACTCCAAAGTCTGAACCTTTAACCACAGTACCATGCTGTTTTCAAGTAGTAAAATACCCTAAGATTGAAAAAATTGTTGGGGTCAGTAATGAGCTATGCTAGCTTCCCTTTGGTGTACTTAGTATGAAGACTTCCCAAGAGACTTCTTCCATAACTTTATTGGGCATTTAAGCTATGCCTTGAGAAAATATTATCAAAGTCAAGTTACGATACAGTTTTCTGGGCCAGTTAGAAGATGATATATCAAAAAATTTACATAAAAGTTTGTAAAATTGTTATAAACATCAAAAATAACTTTTCTTAAGGGTAAAAGAAGAAATTTAAAAAATTTATCTAGATGGCTATCTGGGACTGAAGGGCTATTTCAGTTTTAATCTGCAGTGATGACCCTTATGCTCTTATAAAGCTGCACTTACATAATGAATTTTCAAAGGCTTAAAAAAAACTTTCAATGACTGATCTCTGTAGTAATCACAGAATTTCTGTTACGTTTTCAGTCAAATTTGAAAATATATCTTTAATTTGAATGAGATTTCAGCAGTGCATTCTCTTCTCTCTTTTCTGATTCTAGAAGCACCAAGCCAATGACTGGGGGAGGAAATATTACAGAGGTCACTTATTTCATCCTTTTGGGATTCTCTGATTTCCCCAGAATCCTAGTAGTGCTCTTTGTTGTATTCCTGCTCATCTACATTATGACTCTGACTTGGAACTTGTGCCTCATCATCTTAATAAGGATGGACTCTCACCTCCACACACCCATGTACTTCTTCCTCAGTAATCTGTCCTTCATGGATATCTGCTATGTGACCTCCACAGCCCCCAAGATGCTCTCCAGCTTTTTCCAAGAGCAGCAAACTATCACCTTTGTGGGTTGCGCCGTTCAATACTTTGTTTTTTCAATCATGGGACTGAGTGAGTCTTGTCTCATGACAGCCATGGCTTATGACCGATATGCCGCCATTTGTAATCCTCTTCTCTATTCATCAGTCATGTCACCCACCCTCTGTATTCGGATGGTGCTGGGGTCCTATCTGGCTGGACTCTCTGGTTCTGTATCCCAATTGTGTGCCATACTTCAGCTTCACTTCTGTGGGCCTAATGTCATCAACCACTTCTTCTGTGACATGCCCCAGTTGTTAGTCCTGTCCTGCACTGACACTTTCTTTGTACAGCTATTGCTTGCTATAGTAACAATGATCTTTGGGGTAGTTAATGCTCTCATTATCATGGTATCCTACTGTTATATTGTCATCTCCGTCATGAAGATCACTTCAGCTAAAGGCAGGTCCAAGGCTTTCAACACCTGTGCTTCTCATCTAACAGCAGTTTCCCTCTTTTATATCTCGAGTGTCTTTGTCTATTTGAGTTCCAGCTCTGGCGGTTCCTCCAGTTTTGACAGATTTGCATCAGTATTCTACACCGTGGTCATCCCCATGTTGAATCCTTTGATTTACAGTCTGAGGAACAAGGAAATCAAAGATGCCTTGAGGAGTTTACAGAAGAAGAGATGGTACTGCTGAGGTTCTGTCCAGATTTGTCCTATCAGAAAGCTTAACTCCTAAGAATATGCAAATAAATGGACTATAATATCGCCTTTGTATAAAGAAAGCTTAGTTTGACACAGATTAATATGCCAAATGGACTGATGGTGACTTGACTCCACACAAACACAATGTCTTTAAGTCCGGAGGAGGTTCATACTTTCACTGTACATGGGGAATGTCATCATCATTTATAAATAATCTGCAAGTATTTGTAAAATGTTAAGGTTTAGAAACTCGTTAGTTCCTTTTGCTTTGGAGATTGAGCCCTGCTCAGTCTCAGACCTCTGATTGTAAAGGACTGATATCTGACAGAGGCCCCCAAGAATATGGAGAACTTGTGTCCCAAATATTTTGATGTGGCGTAATCCAGACATGATGGTGATTGATGTTTGTTGTGTGTTTCTGCCATAGTGGGAATAAACGGAGAGAGAGGATGTGCCTTTGAACAGAAATAAAGCTATACGATTAGCCTGGTTGTGTCTCCCGGGAAGAGTCTGATATAGCTACTGTTTGTCTAAGGCCTCTTTCAGAACTAATCATCCCATAAATTTGGTCACATTCCAGTCTCTACCAGCTATAATCTTCTGAAGGAAAAGGTGATTTGAATCCTAAAGAGGATTGGAATGAAGGATGTGGTCCCTTCCTTACCATTTCTTAGGAGTCTGATGGTTTAGTTTCTTGCTTCTAGTTTCAGTGGGGATTTCTGATGGGAGATGATGTTCAAAATCCATGTCATAGACAATATCAGTTTTTTATATTGTGGGACTCAAGCCTCTTTCTCCCATTAAATGTGGAAAATTTACCCTTGTCTGACATAGCCAGTGTTTCGCACTCTCAAATCATTTCTGATATTTCAAGCATCTGTTTATGTTTGGTGTGAGGAGACTTGTGTGAAAATTCATTGTAGGAATAGAGTTACTGAATTATAAATATTGCAGACTAAGAACAAATATGGAAAGCTGATATATATTCTTTTTATTTTCTATGTTAAACATTTTATGTCCTAGAGATTTATGGTGTTGTATGGGGTGATATAATGCATGGAGTAGATGGTTAGAGTTATTCTAATGCTGATATTCTCTAGGAAGCCTCAAGAGCCAGAGAAGAAATAATAGTGGGAGAGGCAGGGTTTTTAACTTTGGCCAGTTTTCTTTGTGTAAAGTAGAACATAAAGCTTTTGGTTCTTGTGATCTGTTTGAAAAGGGAACAAGTTGTGTAACAGTACTGGCTGCTGATTTGCCAGATTGCTCAGACTTGAACCAATTGGTATAAAACAGATGTCATTACAATGACATATTATCCTTGGAGACTCATTGGGTTCTCAATGCTGTTTGGAGGGGGGGGGGGGCCCTCCTAATTCTGATGAATCATGTAATTGTTCTCTTTAATTAAAGATTATAAATGAAGAGGCATTTGAAGCCTTTGCCAAGTTTTTCACAAGTTTACAAATGGATGGAATTGAGAGAAGGGGAACCACTGAATCTCTGGGAGAGAATGTGAGGTCTTACCCCATACCAAGGAAGTAGTGCAGGGTGAATAAAAGATGTGTGCTCCCCTTCCCCACCGTGTAAGCTTAGGTATGCTCTTTGAAGTATTGTTCTTTAAAAATGTGTAAGAATGTATGTGAAGTCTTCCTAAGGAACCATGAGGGCTTCAGTAGGAGGAGCACCTCATAATCATTACGCTGTGCATTAGATTTCCATATTTATTTATCTTTTAGTTGCAAGGTTATACCCTTTCAAAAAATATCTCTCTAATTTCCTTGCTCTCCAGGTCCTGGTAACCACCATTGGACTCTCTGATTCTATGGGTTCGGCTTTTTGACTCTTATGATATTAGTGCTATCATACAGTTTGTGTCTTTGTCTGAGTTATGTCACTTGGCATAATGCCATCAGGGTCCATTCATGTTGTCTCAAATGGCAAGATTTCCTCCATGTCGTAGTTGGGTAATATTCCACTGTACTGTGTGTCAGCACCATGTCTTCTTTATAATTCTTTGTCATTCCACATATTGCCTATTATGAATAATGCTGCAATAAACACGGGAGTGGAGATTATCTTTTTGGTATCCTGTTTTTATTTCTGTTGAGTGTATACCCAGAAGTGGGGTTGCTTGATCCTATGGTAGTTCTCTAATCTTTTGAGGAACATCCATACTATTTTAATAGTGGCTAAACCAAGTTACCTTTCCACCAGTAGTGTACAGGTGTTCCCTTTTCTCCAAATCCTCACCACCACTTATGACCTCTTGCTGTGATGGTAGTCATTCTAACAGGTGTCAGTTGATATTTCATTGTGCTTTTGATTTGCATTTCCCTGATGATTAGTGATGTTGGGTATCTTTTTGTGTACCTATTGGCCATTTGGGTGTCTTCTAGGAAAAGTATCCATTCAGTTCCTCTACCGAATTTTAAATCAGATTGTTTTCTTTTTGAGTTTTATGAATTCCTTTTACATGTTGGATATTAACCCCTTATCTGAGGTGCATGGTTGGCAGATATTTTTCAGTATATGGTTTGCAGAGATTTTCTCCTATTCTGTAGGTTGCCTTTTGATTATGTTAATTGTTCTTTGGCTGTGCAGAGCCTTCTTAATTTGATGTAGCTGCACTTGTTGACTTTTGCTTTTTTTGCTTGTGCTTTTGGTATGAGATCCAAAAAATCATTTTCAAGACCAGTGTCAAGGACCTTGTTCCCTATCTTTTCTTCTAGTTTTATGGTTTCAGGTCTTATATTCCTTTCTTTAATCTACTTAGGGTTAATTTTTGTGAGTGATGAAAGGTGTTGACCCAATTTCATTCTTATGCATTTGATGATCCAGTTTTTCCAAAACCATTTATTGAAGAGACTGTTCTTTCCTCACGGAGTATTCTTGGCTCCCTTGTTAAATAGTAGTTGACATATAGGTGGGAGTTTATTTCTGGATTCTATTTTATTCTACTGACCTATATGTCTATTTTCATGCCAGACCCATACTGTTTTGTTTAGTATAGCTTTGTGGTATAGTTTGGAATCAGGAGAGTGATTCCTCCACTCTTGCTCTTTCTCAAGGTTCCTTTGGCTTAGGTCTTTTGAAGTTTCACACAAATTTTAGTATTTTTTTTATATTTTGGTGAAAAATATCATTGAAATTTGATGGAGATTTTCTTCAATCTATAGATGACTTTGGGTAGTATGGAAATTTGGAGAATATTAATTTTGGTTCATGAACATGGGATATCTTTCCATTTTTTGTGTGTGTGTTCTTTAATTTTATCAATTTATTTTAGTTTTAATAGTACAGATCTGTTACTTCCTTGGTTAAATTTATTTTTAAGTATTTTATTGTTTTTAATGTTACTGTGAATGGTATAATATTTTTTTACTTCTTTTTCAGGTGTTTCATTGTTAGTGTATAGAAATGCAACTGGTTTCTGTATGCTGATTCTGTGTACTGCAACTTTACTGAACTTGTTGATTAGTTCCAACAGTTTTTTGGTTGAGTCTTAGGACTTTCTAGATGTAAGTGAGTGTGATGTTAGTTGTGGTTTCTTATTTTTGGCCTTTATTGTGTTGCAGTCATTTCCTTCTATACCCAATCTGTTGACAGTTTTATTTAAGAAAGGATGTGGTATTTTTTTCAAATGCTTTTTTCTGCATCTTTTGAGATGATATGCTTTTTATCTTACATTAACGTGGTGCATCACAGTTATGTTTTTGTGTATGTTGAACCATCCTTGTAGGGACAATGTTCATTTAATCATGGTGTATGATCCTTTAATGTGTTGTTGCATTAGGCTTGCCTGTATTTTATTGTGAATTTTTGCATGTATATTCATCAGGGATATGTCTATAATTTTTATGCAGTGTTCTCTGTCCTATTACAGATATAGCCTTCTAAATCTGACTATATACTTACCTCTACCAGTGTGTGGTCTATTTTCATATATGTTCATATTAAATATTTAAAAAAATTTTTTTAAATGTTTATTTATTTTTGAGAGAGAGAGCAAGAGAGCAGGAAGGGGCAGAGAGAGGGAGGCACAGAATTAGAAGCAGGTTCCAGGCTCTGAGCTGTCAGCATGGAGATCATGATCTGAGTTGAAGTCGGACACTTAACCAACTGAGCCACCCAGGTGCCCCTTTTCTTTTCTTTCTTTTACTTTTAAAAAAAGTTTATTTATTTCAGAGAGAACATGAGTGAGCACAAGCAGTGGAGGGGCAGAGACAGAGTGAGAGAGAGAGAGAATCCCAAACAGGCTCAGCACTGCTAGCACAGAGCCTGATTGGGTCTCAGACTCAAACTCATGAGATCATGACCTGAGCTGATATCCAGAGTTGGACACTTAATAAACTAGGTCACCCTGATGGCTATACATGTTACATCTTATCTTACCTTATCTTTTCTTTTCTTTTCTATTCTTTTCTTTTCTTCTCTTTTCTTTCTCTTTCTTTCTCTTTCTTTCTTTCTTTCTTTCTTTCTTTCTTTCTTTCTATATAATTTATTGTCAAGTTGACTAATATACAGTGTTTACATTGTGCTCTTGGTTTCGGGTGTAGATTCTCAGGAGTCATTGCTTGTGTACAATACCCAGTGCTCATCTCAACAAGTGCCCTCCTCAATGGCCATCATCCATTTCCCCGTCTCCCCCACCCTCCCCTGCATCAACCCTCAGTTTGTTCTCTGTATTTCAGAGTCTCTTATGGTTTGCCTCCCTCTCATCTCCTTTCATCATTTCTTGTTGGAAAGGTCTAATGGTGATTAGTACTCTCAACTTTTATTTCTCTGGAAAAGTCTTTATTTCTCCTTTCTGTCTGGAGGATAACTTTGGCAGATAGAGGTTCTCAGCTGGCATTTTTCTCCAACACTTTGAATATGTCTTTCTACTGTCTCCTGCTTAAGGGTGTCTTCTGTGATATCCATTGATAGCCTAATGGTGTTCCTTTGGAGTTTACAATCTTTTTTTTACTGGCTGCTTTTAGGATTTTCGCTTTG